GTGAGCATTCCGCTTAGTAAAGAACTACGCCAAGTATCGCGAACTGTGTGCTAGTCACTGTTCTATATATATAAATCGTCTTAATCCTCATCACTTCTAATTCTATGTAACATTAAATATCCTAGAAATAAACAGCAGACTCGAGTATTAGCTTGACATACAGTAAGTAGTCAATGCTTCTTCTTTTAATAATTTACCAACTAAATACGAGTATAATGAATTGACTGTTGTACAAAATGGATAGTTTTTTATTGTCACTCATATGTAATTTGCCAGTAAATTCTGATCCTAAACCTAAAACAGTGATACTAATTGGCCATGCAATTAAGTAAAACAGGGCGAAATGGATGGAAATAGAAGAGGAGCAAGCATGGGCTAAATTAAACTGATGCTCTAATAGTTGTGTTTATTTGGAGAAGAGTTGAATAACTTTTGTAAAAGTAGTAACCCGGAGCTCGCTTGAAACCGGATATCATTGCATGAATGATTGTAGATATTTTCAAAAATGTCCTGACACTAAATCTATAACAAGGATTGCAATAGACAAGGCCAATCACTTCATCACGGCAAAATTAAAAAATAAAAAACGAGAAAGCATTTCTGAACTCGTGCTCAAATTGTGGTGTTGGTTTGGGACCGTTTCCAAGAAACGAGTTGATTCCGATATTATTTTCAATAAAAACAGACCATACCAATAAATAAGTACATTAGGACGAAATGGACATAAAGAGAGAAAGAGGAAGCCATTGCCTCGATCGAATTCATGCTACAGCTGTTGCATTTGTTTCTAGCGAGATTACTTTCAATAAAGCAGATCATACCGATAAGTACATTAGGACGAAACGGACATGAAAGAGAAAGAGGAAACGGATCAACACTATTCAACAGTAGTATCCGACTCCTACAGTTTTTATAGATTTTAATTAATTAAGAAGATTGCAACAAAGCGGTAGGCAATCTGCCTTTACGATCCAGCTCTTACTGTAGTGATGTCTGCTCTATAACTACAGTAGGTAGAAAAGTGACTACCACTGTAAAGAAGCTTTGGACAAGCCATTTTCATTGACTTTCCGTTATGATTGAATGACGACGAACTGATACTCTCTTCGTATCAACAGTACGAAAATACTATCGAAGTGTATAAAAATTGTAGGAGTCGGATATTACTTTCGATCCGAGAAACCATTGCCTTGATTGAATTCATGCTGTAGCTGCTGTATTTGTTTCTAGCGAGATTACTTTCAATTAAAACCGATCTTACCAAATAAGTACATTAAAACGAAACGGCCATAAAAGAGAAAGAGGAGGCATCGCCTCGATTGAATTCATGCTGCAACTGCTGTATTTGTTTCTAGCGAGATTACTTTCAATAAAAACAGATCATACCAATAAGTACATTAGGACGAAACGGACATAAAAGAGAAAGAGGAAGCATTGCCTCGATTGAATTCATGCTGCAACTGTTGTACTTATTTCTAGAATATTTCAAATACAGCTTTCCTATGAGCACGAAGGAACCAGAGAGACAAGCTTGTTAGGGAACCTCTTGTAATGAAATGACAGAGCATGCAAATAAAGTCCATCAAGACAAAATGGACAAATAAAGAGCAAGTCATGCCTAGATTGAATTCATGCTGCAACTGCTGTATTTGTTTCTAGAATATTTCAAATAGAGCTTTCCTATGAGCAAGAAGGAACCAGAGAGACAGGCTTGATAGGGAGCCTCTTGCAATGAAATGACAGAGCATGCAAATAAAGTCCATCAAGACAAAATGGACAAATAAAGAGCAAGTCATGCCTAGATTGAACTCATGCTGCAACTGCTGTATTTGTTTCTAGAATATTTCAAATAGAGCTTTTCTAAGAGCAAGAAGGAGCCAGAGGGACAGGCTTGATAGGGAGTCTCTTGCAATGAAACGACAGAGCTTGCTAATAAAGTCCATCAGGACAAAATGGACAAAAAGAAAGAGGAAGTAATGGCTAAATTGAACTCGCTGTGCTTGTTCCTAGAATATTTCAAATAGAGCTTTTCTAAGAGCAAGAAGGAGCCAGAGGGACAGGCTTGATAGGGAGTCTCTTGCAATGAAACGACAGAGCTTGCTAATAAAGTCCATCAGGAGAAAATGGACAAAAAGAAAGAGGAAGTAATGGCTACATTGAACTCGCTGTGCTTGTTCCTAGAATATTTCAAATAGAGCTTTTCTATGAGTACGAAAGGAACAATGAAATGACAGAGCATGCTAATAAAGTCCATCAGGACAAAATGGACAAAAAGAAAGAGGAAGTATTGCCTAAATTAAACTAGCTATGTTTGTTCCTAGAATTTTTCAAATAGAGCTTTTCTATGAGTACGAAGGAACCGGAGGGACAGGCTTGATAGCGAGCCTCTAGCAATGAAATGACAGAGCATGCTAATAAAGTCCATCAGGACAAAATGGACAAAAAGCAAGAAGAAGCATTGCCATCATTGACCTAATGCTACGTTTGTTTCAGAGATCGATGAAGAACTATTTACATCACTGAATACTCTAACTACAGTACTAATTAGTCCCCAATGCAGTACACTGCTCATTACTACAGTAGGCTGGAAAAGCAGCTTTCTACAAGTGTGATTTTGAATTTCTAATTTGGCCATTTTCATTTCAATGGCTTCTTGTCAAGCCATGGATTGAATGGACTGCAAGTCGCCCTGTCACGATGGATGGGGAAATCCGTATACTGGGCGTATCGGTAGACGCAGGTATGAGTTAATGTCCAATGCTTTACTATTGGATCTCTTTATTTCATCCAAGCGCATACAAAGTGACTTCCTCTAAGCATGGATTGGGTGATTGATTGTGATTGGTCCATGATGTTGTTATGAGTCATGACGTATGACTCATGACAACGTCGACCTTTGTTTTCTGTCTTGGTGTAGTGTACTGTACTGGTGCTTGAACATGTCGTACAAGTAATACAAAAGCATGTAGTGGTTGAAGACCAGTCAGCAGCGTGACGTGCAAGTCTACCATGGACATGCAAATTGAAATCAAGACTTTGAACTCGATCTTGATGCCATCGAATAACTCCAACTGGAAATCGTTCTATTCCGTTGATGATGCTTCCATTGAAAGAAGTACTTCCTAGACGATCGCGTAAGACATGACTGGAAGCCAATAGACGGGCCATGACAGAGAAAAGGTGTCGACAATGCACCAGGGTAACATCCTCGAGGGTAGTCCAAGGGTGCCATGGCGAGGTAGGGTGGGCAAACAAGGGTAACATCGCATGCAGGCCATTTTGGACCATGTTATCCTCAAAGGGTAGAGTATCCCGTAAGACTATGGGACGTCATCCTTGTCGAAGGGTAGTGTATTAAATAGCACTGCTTAGACTAGTCTTACAAGTCATTCAAATACCAATGATCAAAAATACCCCAACTCAGTCAGCGCTATCACCATGGTCCAGTATGAGGCAAGTGTCACCCAATTCGACGCCTTCCCTATGACTAGGGAAGCGTCACTTGGTGACAGGTGAAGCAAGGCTTAGCCAATCCAGTCGGGTCGATACCGCAAACAGTCGTGCAGAGTATAGGAATGACTATGAAAGTAGACTGCTCGCATCCAGTCGATTGCCCCCCAAACGTCATTCGTCACGACTGCCATCTGTCCAAGACTCTGGGTGGAATCCATATAAACCAAAGCTCTATCTCATCGGTCGTCATTTTTCACTGCTCAATCCTATAGTAAACCAGTGCGTCCATTTTCCTGAGTGGCTGTTGTTGGCTCCATTGGATTTTTTTCCTCCCTTGTTGCTGTTGTTTGGAAGACTATCCGTCGTTGATCGGCAACATCTGCATTGATTTATCTTTGGATAGTAGTGGAATTGAATTGGGCCCTTGTAACGATCCAATTGGTTTGGTTATGGCTTGCGCAACGCTCAAGCGACGTTTAGATTTCGATCCTTTACCCGGCCATAGTAATAGTAGTGGTAGTCATCATCATCCAAGTAAGCGAAGAAGATATTTATCCATTTCTCCTCAATCGGCACCAGCGACACCAGCTCAGCCATCCAAAGTATTTCTTCCGTTAAGCCATAGCGTCGATACGGGTAAGTGGAAGGATGAAATAGGGTAGTAGCCAATGAAGGGAGACAATGATCGAGTAGACAGAAAGGGAATACAAGTTGAAGTGGGTTAGCAAAAATGATCGAGCAATGGCGGTCGACGGTGTTGGACAACAGTGTTGCAACAACATCAACACCAATCCAACACTTGCAAGAAGAATTCCCAGTCAAGACACCCAACTTCAAACAACATCACTCTGTTGGATTGCAATGGAGAAACAAGTCTACAAAGATCGTTGACCTTTCCACCATCGGCCATATTGGAATAGCTGTAGTGGTCTTGATAGCGATGGTAGACAAAATGCCGTCATACAGTGTTGTTGATTCTTCATCTTCTTCCCTTTAGATGAATTAAGGCAAAATGTCCAGCTGGAATATAAGCGAATTTTAAAGAGAAGGCGAATATTGAATTTTGACGAGAACGGCCATGATAGTGGCCCCATTTCTTTACCGACATCGGCAACGGATGAATGTCACAGCCTCATTGCCCATGGAAAGAAAGATATGCCATTATTCACTTTTACTGAAGTCATTGCCTTTTGTCAGAAAATGCTCAAGCAACGCGAAAATGACCTAAGGGAAGAGTACGATAAAGTATTAACCACCAAATTGGCCGGTAAGTACCAATCGATGCTAGTCGCTTTCTTTTCGATCCATGCATGTCATCGTCATGGACTTTTGGATTACCCGTTCCGACTTTTCCATCCATCAATACAATGTGTAAAAAAAAAATTAGAAAGGAATCAATACAACGCGTTGCACAAGTTTGACTAGCGATCGATGCTTTGTGATGCCATGCAAAGAAACTGGGTGTCTTTGAACACGAGAACACCTTGCTCCATTTTTTTTTATTACTCATGACACGTTGTGACTTGATGCTGGATGCTATTTGATTACAGTCCAATAAGTTGAAACGAATTTCTTGTCCATTTGCTTAGCGATCATGCTTTGTAATATCATGGAGGAAACTGGCTGTTCTAGCAGACGAGGACGCTTTGCTCCTTTTTTTTTAAAATCATCGTAACGTACATTACTTTTCACGCTGTAATGGATAGTTACTACAGCCAAATAAGTTAAAACGAGTTTCTTGTCCATTTGGCTGGCAATCATGCTTTATAATGTCATGGAGGAAACTGGCTATACTAGCAGAAGAGGACGCTTTGCTCCTTTTTTTTTTTTAAAATCATCGTGCTGTACATTACTTTTCACGCTGTAATGGATAGTTTACTACAGTCAAATAAGTTGAAACGAGTTTCTTGTCCATTTGGTTGGCAATCATGCTTTGTAATGTCATGGAGGAAACTGGCTGTACTAGCAGACGAGAACGCTTTGCTCCTTTTTTTTTAATATCATCGTACATTACTTTACACGCTGTAATGGATATTTTACTACAGTCAAAGAAGTTGAAACGAGTTTCTTGTCCATTTGGCTAGCAATCATGGAGGAAACTGGCTGTACTAGCAGACGAGGACGCTTTGCTCCTTTTTTTTTTAAAATCATCGTACATTACTTTACACGCTGTAATGGATATTTTACTACAGTCAAAGAAGTTGAAACGAGTTTCTTGTCCATTTGGCTGGCAATCATACTTTGTAATGCCATGGAGGAAGCTGGTGTCGTTGCAAACGAGGACGCTTTGCTCCTTTTTTTTCTCATTATCAGACCATACGTTATACGTTGTAACTTGACACTGGATGGTATTTTACAGTCAAAGCAGTTTCTTCTAGACCGACATTATGAAATAGATGTGGATTACGTCGAGGAGAATAGAACGATGATTTTATTGACTTACCTATTTAGCCATTCATTTTTTGCCCTTGACTAAAGTCCATTTTAAAAAAGAATTCATTGTAATGTAGTAGTTTTCTAATTGTGTCTTAGTTAGACTTTGATGGATTGAATTGTTGTGTAGTTGATCAGAAAAAGAGAAATGGATCTATTGGATTTCCAATTCAAGACTAACCTGCCATTGTATTTTATAGAACAATATGAAGCTTTCGTCAAATTCACCAATGATCATATACGCAAGCAACTCAGTAATGCGCCCATGTCATGTAAGTATAAACACTAACCCATAGCGATGACTGTTTCACCACGGAAACTTGCCTTGATTGATTTTAGAATCGGTTGCAAATGCGGTCGTTGTAAACAGTAGTTATAGCAGATAGCGAATCCATTATTTCCTTATAACGCTTTCAAGAAGAAATGAATGAACGATAGATTTGATAAATATCTTTCTGCTATGAACAGTACTTAGTATTAGGCTCTGTGTGA